AGAAATGAGTTTTCATTGACCATTTATTACTTTTGCGTTTATATATTTAGTAAGAAATCTCTCGAAAGAGAATAAAATGATGAAATATAAATTTGATATGACATTTCCATAGGAAATTGCATTGTGAAATATTAAATTTACGTCGAATCGAATCAAAATTTCGAGCTAAGTTCGAACAAAGAACTTAATTTTATTGGACATCTGAATGACTTCTCATTGCAGTGAAATACAACTTTAAAAAAAATACCCTTCCCGATATGATTTATATTTTTCCTCGAACCGGCTAATGGCGCGAAAGTACAGAAGATGGTTATTGAGTTACTATGAATTTCGCATTGCTGAAATTTTGATTTCATTCATTCAATTTAGGAAAGTTTCAGCTACTCTTTATTGAGAAAAGGATTTATATGAACTCCATCTACAGCAAAATTCTTCGAAACGAAAATAAATGATATAAGAAGGCAGTACTTCTGTGCATATATATTTCTGACTTATGAAATCAATAAGCGTGAAAAAGGGGATTTTGAGAATTCGGAAGTACAGCTAATAGGCTGTCTATTTTTGTATCTCCAACAGAAAATAGCTATCAGCAACAGAGTCAGTGCGTAATACATAGTTGTAGAAGTTATAGGCGAATATACAAATTTTGTAGCTGTAATTAAATTACTTGCTTACTGAAAGTGTGTGGTTTCCTTTTTAGATATCAAGTAAGACTAGTCATATACGCTTTTATTCGGTTGGAGTAAGCGAGTTATAGAGGATGGGTGAAAAAAAAGGCTGTGTCAGTATTGAAAATCGCACTATTTGCGCTGGCAAAAATGTTATAATCCCTAAAGGAGAAGGTTTGTACTGCTAATACTTATTTATTTTATTCGGAGTAAGGACCAAAGCGTTTCGTTTACGGAGTACCTTTGTAATACAATTTAGGCGAAAATATAGAGGACAGAAACCTTGCTGAGAAGGTAACGCAGGGGAAAAAATGTCGTCTTAGAAAATAAAGTAGTTTAAAAACATCTCAGTTTTAAAACACTGTTGTCTTGAGGTTAAAAATATAGCAACTATTAATCATTACATGATCTCAGACATTTGGTTTCAGATTTTAAAAGTTTTAAATGCAGGTTCAATTAATGATTAGTGAGCACAAGAAGGAATGATGAATATTTTTACCTCTGTATTTCATATTTTTGAATTAACTAATAAATTTTTCCTGGAAAGGCAAGAAAAACTCCTAACCAGTCAAAAACTGAAATTGAGTAGGCTTTTTAATACTTGTATAGCAGACAACAGTTAACAGAATGTTATATTTATGTAGTAAACTGCTTAGATTGATAATTTAATTAATTCTTTTTATAAACCTGGATTAATAATAATTTCTTTATAATGTTGGATTAGTGGTGCGAACATGCATGTAAAGATTTTAAAAACTGAAAACATATGTCTGCGATGCAAAGTTTTGCCCACGATGTTTTAAGAACTGCCATGTATTTTCTTTCTTCTCTTTTTTTCTCGGATTTCTTTTTACTACGGTGTTTTCTCGTTCCGTTGTTTTCTCCACAACAAAAAAAAAAAAAAAAAAAAAAAAAAAAAAAAAAAAAAAAAAAAAAAAAAAAAAAAAAAAAAAAAAAAAAAAAAAAAAAAAAAAAAAAAAAGAAAAAAAAAAAAAAAAAAAAAAAAAAAAAAAAAAAAAAAGAAAAAAAAAAAAGCGGCTTCTTCGGCAACATTTTGGCTAAATATCTTTCATTTCAGTCCAGCGAAGAATGACCTAAAGTCTGAAAATAAATGATCGACCCAGATCAGATTTCATTCCGAAATGTGAAATTTTAACTTTTTAAAAAAACGTATAGTGTAAACATTAAGTAGCCGGGTAACAGAGTGAATTTATACTCTCTCTCTCTCTCTCTCTATATATATATATATACATGGTGATTCTAAATTGTTTTTACAAATTAAGAGGGGTAATAGTACTGATTCAGATGAGCAATAACTACCATAGAACATAAGATCGCATTCCACTCTGCAAGGCAGAAATGAGGAAGAGGAATATTAGAATTCCAGTCTGAGCTTACAACAGTGTTGGAAGAGCGAATGAACGAGACCAAAAGTTGCACAAACAGTTTAGCGAAAAACTCTACACAAAAGGGATAAAATGGAAAACTTGGCTTTCGAAAGTTAATTCGAGCTCAGACTTTGATGGCAAACTCTCTAATGCACATCTTTGGTTGGCAAGGTCTCAGCCTCGCAAACGATTGCAACAAATTAATTATTTAAATTATATGGGAGAAATTATCTACTATGGGAAAAAAACTTCTACCTAGTTTTTATTTACCTTCGCCATCTTCTATCCTGTCCTCTTGGACTTACTGGGCTGCGCTCATTCTACTTGAAGCGCTCTTCTGTGGGACACGAAGTTCTGACAGTCGGAACGCAGCATGAATTTTTCATGCAAATCTCGGCATACAACGGAACTTCGAGTTCGTTAATAGTATTCAGCCCTTGATTAGATAATTAACTTGCTGCAATCGTTAGCGAAGTTGAGATCTTGCCAACCAAAGATGTGCATTTGAGTGTTTGCCATCAACGTCTGAGCTCGAATTAACACTCGAACGCCAAATTTGAGATTTTATCCATTTTGTGCACTCTCTGTAAGTTTTTCACTAAACTGATTGTGCAACTTGTATTCTCGTTCATTCATTCTCCTAACACTGTTGTAAGTTCAAGTTAGAATTCTAATATTGCTCTTTTCTGTCTCTCAGAGTGGAATGCGACCCTATGTTCTTTGGTAATTATTGATCATCTGTATGAAACTATCACCTCTCTTAATTTGTAAAAACAATTTAGAATTACCCTATATATACATAAACTTAAAGCATCTAAAGTTAATATTAAATTGGAATCAAATCAAGGCAATTCCTCAACAATATTAATAATTGCAACCGTGTATCAGAGGTATAACACAATATCTAAACAAATCAAACTTAAAATAAAAATTCTTAGTAGAACAAACTCGAAAAATAAAAATGCGAAAGGGAAAATATACAAAATTATAAAAATTAATATCCTTTTGCTGAAACTCCAGTTCATCGAAACATATTAATCGACCTTTATGAAGCTTTAATCCATTTTTCGCTGATGAGCTCAGAATTGGAGTTTCAGAAAAAAGGATATTAATTTATAATTTTGTATATTTTCCCTTTTACATTTTTTATTTTTCGAGTTTTTTTCTACTGTGAATTCTTATTTTAATTTTGATTTGTTTAGATATGGTGTTAAACCTCTAATCACGGTTATAATTTTTAATACTCTTGAGGAATTGAATTGCTTTGATTTGAATTTAATATTAACTTTAGATGCCTTAAGTTTATGTTACTTCAAACCTGCAGAACGGGTTTAATTTTTTTTTTTCATTTTTAGCCTATTATTATGTTTTTCATATATATATAATATAATATATAATATATATATATATATATATATACTCACTCTCAGTTGTTTAAGTGGTGCAAAGGCTAACGAATCCGTCGTTTGGCTGTTTGTTTATATCTGAAAGTCTTAGTAGAACAGTGAATTGAATCAGTTTGTGAATCAACTTCAGTATCTTTTTGCTGAGTGGAACCAAAAGTGAACTTTCAGTTTTCTGCCCCGAAAAATCTGTTTTTCTAAACTAATTACTTATATAGCTACTGTTTGTATATATATATATAAATCAAAAAGTAGTAGTACGGCCTTGCCGGTTAGAAACATATTATGCACATTGAATTTTAATGTTAAGTTTTCTACATGAAATAAAAGATAATACTTTGGTTAGCCAGTTATAATTTTGCGTGTAAAATTTTTAAATACAACTCGTAGTCATTTCGTAATTCTTTATATTATGGAAATATTTTGTAACTAATAAAGTAAATTTACATAACTAACTAATAACGTAAAGTACTTAATACAGCAACTAATAAAGTAAAGTACTTAACATGATACTGAAGCATCAATGTCTATGGTGTTTATGCTATATCAAATCTTAAATACTTAAACGCGATAAAATTAATGAGGAAGGGGTTATAAGTTTGATACTTCTGATTGCAATAAATAAGGAAGTTACACAACTAGTTTCAAAGTTCTACATTTGGCTTTAGTAGATTAAGCAAAGAACACTAGAGTTGTCTACCTAAAATGGATGCTTTCGTGGAGAACATTCTAAGGGAAAATGGCTGGTATACATGTTACATATGAGAAAACCCCTCAAAACACCCATGTAGCCAGCCCGTTAGCTCGGAATCGAATCCAGATGAAAACCATCAATATTCAGCGATTTCATTGCTCAGCCGCTGTGCCCACAGTTCTTCCACAAAAGTAAATTGGATAAGTATATGATCATGATGTGTTATAAAATAGTAACATTATAAATAAATCAATAAATCTGTTATCAGTACATTATCTTTACCTGCTTAAAAATGATTTTCTAAAATGAACAGAGTCTACTCACTAATAGATATATATGCATTTTTTTAAAGAGCTGTTGCAGATTTATAAGGTTTTTTTATTATTATTTTTATTTTTTTATTATTTATTATTTATTTTTTTTTCTTTGAGGATCGTTATTTTATCATCAGTTTTTATATCTTTACAACCCCGAGCGTCGTTTACATGCATATTCTTCATAAAATAATCAGAAAATGTTCTTAGAAAAAAGGAAAAAAAAAGTAACTTGTAACGTGTGTTTCTTATCTCGAACTGAACATCGAGGAAGAGATTGCAAAATTCTGATAAACACAACTTCGGTAAAGCAAAGGCGGAAAAGAACTCCATTTCTTTTCTTACCTAACTGAGAAAAACTACCGAACACAAACTTCTTTTTTAAAGAAATTCTTTGGCAACAATGGAAGAAGAAATAATAAACGCACCCAAAGTGTTCCTTTATAGTTTCTTTCCGAGGAGACACTTCAAATATCATACTGTGGAAGGGAAAGAAAAAAAAGAGGAAGAAAAGTAACAAAATAAATCTTCACCTGTGACGACAATTTTTCCGGCACTGACGCTCATAACCATCTCGCCTGTTAGTTTGTGCCGCGTCTGGCAGAGAAATGTCCGAAGGGAATCTTTTTCTAAAACTCCATGAATCAAGAGCTCTCCGGAATTAAGAACAGTGTATGAACTACCTGCAGGGAGAAAAAAAGCAAAACCAGAACATTATCAAGTAGTTGAAAGAAGAAAAACATTCCATTACATGCTTAAATTTTATTCTAGCGGAATAATTTCAAACTAATGACCATAACTAAAATTTTCTTTAAGAATCGGCATAGATAAAAGACTGAAGTATAGAATAAAATTTAAAAGAATTTCAAAAAATGAACAATTCGCGTTAAATTAAATATTCTGTCACCATGAATAAATGACGAACTTTTATTAAAAAAATTGAAACTGGTTTAATGCGCTGACATTAAATGAGGATAACGTTTAAAAAAATTCCTCATCTTTGCATTTCAACGATGCAACACAGCTTAGGAGAATGTAAGAACACGTTAAATAAGGGGGAGGAAGAACATTTATAAAGTGGATAAAAGAAAGCAAAATACATTCCATTGAAATTTTGTAATATTATTTCAATGAAACAATTTCAAATTAATAGCTGTAATTAAAATTCTATTATAAACTATAGATGAATGAAAGAGAAACTGAAAATAACCTTAAAAACTAGAAAATGGTTAATTCTCATTAAATTAATATTCTCAGTGGAATAAAAAAAGAGAAACCTTTTGCACGCAAATGAAAGACACATTTTTAATTTTGAAAAACAGAAACCAATGCAAATAGTGTTTATAAGAATAAAAGCAAACTGCATAATAAAAATCAGAGTTAATTTTTAGTAATAACTGAGTATGAATTTTTTCAACTGACTTCCATTTGCGAACATGATTTATTTGATTTTCTTTCATACATTGATAAGTAATAATGCTAAAAATAGTGAAACACTAATGTATTTATTTAGCTTTAAAAGGTCATTAAAACACATATATATTTATTTATTCAGATCTAAGAGAAATAATCGCAAGCAATATATTATTACTAGTGCTTCTATTATAACTTTTACACGAAGAGCAATTGTTAGTTCCAGTAATGGAAACTTTTCTGAAGATTCGATGTCAGTACTTATTTGCCCTGAATCTATTATTTCTTTTGTTTTCTTTGTATATGCATATATATATATATATATATATATATATAGAGAGAGAGAGAGAGAGAGATAGAACAATTAGTATAAGAATATCTTTTTATTTTTTTCCTAAACTATATATATAAAATATAACAAAATATGACAGCTGCTTTAAAAAATAATTGGTGACCTCAAAATTAACATTCAAAATTTGGTGATCTACCCTAAGATAATTTTTTCTCCCACGTTCCAGATTTTTCTATGTTATATAACGTTTTAACGCAGATACCTCTTGTCCAAGCAAATTAATTGTAAACCAAAACTCGGAACTGAACCTTTTCCGTCTCCCAACTTTCTTCCTCTGAAGTAATATGACGCTGTTCCCTTTTTCTCTCCTGCTGGCAAGATTCTTTTCATCCATGCTACTTCCGCTTATTTGCTTAAGATGACGTCGTTCTTCGAAATGTAACTTAATTCCATTCAAATATGAGTAGGAAACATCGTGTCTGCAAAAGGATGGTTTGACATACGTGAAAAAATAAAGAAGTGGTTCTTCAAGATCCGTTTTGCTAAATGCGTCTTTCTGCTTTTTCACTCAACCACCTTCACGCCAGTACGGTCTTCTCAGCCATCTACGCAGTATCATAAGTTGTTTAAGTTCTAAGCTGTTGTTAATGTTGTTAAAGTTGCAAGCTGCAAGCCTACGACGTACAGATTCAATTACTATGCGGATATGCGGATAGTGCCCTGGCTGTGGAAGCCCATATGCTCTGAACCCTCTTCCAAAGTTCGTCCTCAGATAACGGCTGGGGCAGAGCAGGTAACAAGAGAGCGAGAACACTTGGTAACTAACAGAAGTAAGCAGGTATACGTCCCACATCATCCTCTGGCTAGAAGCAAAAACTCCCATGAGCTCCACGGGTGCAACCTTCGAGAGTTTAGACGAATACAAACACAATGAATTTGCTTAATTTCGAAGTTCGACGTTCATTGTCATTCGTATTATTACAATATATTGCACCAAGTGTTCAGACTATGCAATAAATGTGTTGCAGCATGTATGCTGTTTTGTTGACTTAAGTGGGTGCAGCTCAGTGAAAGTCATAACCTGGCAGTTGTCCTCTTCCAGGGCTGTAATCGTGTCGATACTCTGGCATGTCTCGGCCACAATCACACGATTTCGTATAATAAAGTGTGCGGGAGTGTCCACATTACTGAAGCACTGACATAGGTGAATGTCATTGATGAGAGGTCATTGTCAGACGCAGTGGTCTGAGAAGCCTTCTGCTTCCCAGATGCAAGATGGAGATTCCGTTTCAGTACGTTGAAGGTAAAAAAAGAGAACAAAATAAAGAGGAACCGATCCGTAGCGTGCGACAAAGTTGATGATTTGTGGGACGGACAAGTGCCTTTGAAGGTTGACTTTCGGGAAGATATCGTGTCACCTAAGTCCCATTCCTCTTGCTATTTCAGGTTGATGGATTTCTGCAGCAGTTCCTTTTTCCAGTGTCAAAATACTGATTAGTGCAGAGAAACCACGATCAATCACATCACAGATATGCTCGTCAACGAAAAATTAGGGCACACCGCAGGCCAAGATAACAATAGGACATGCTATAAGGTTTGTCAGCTAACGAATGCCGTATGCAATGTCGCGTTGTTTTTATAGACCCAAGTTAAGACATGACGTAGCAAAGTGTTGGAAACTGAGGCGGTAGTGGTAAATTTTATGACATCTTTAAAACATAAGAAAGAAGCAAAGTATTTGCCGTCGCAATGTTGACATTTTATTGACATTGATGAAACATCTTGATATGACTGCTTATAGATATGCACGCTCTAACCTTTACTTATAGTTTATCAATTTTACTTTTAGAATGACAAGAACTACTAAATCTGCCTTTTCAAGAGTTTGAAGTCTGCACAAGATCCATTCTGCAATTTTTCATTATTTTATCTTAACATATTAATCTAAAGTAAATATACCTAATAAAGCATAAATTTAATTGCTTTTAAAATATTAAATTTAATCTATACCAAGAAACCCGAGCTAAATTATTGTTCAAAATTTTGTTAAAAAATTGATATTTTATTTATGCAAAATAATTAAAAATTAAAATAAACTGTATAGTAAGTTATTAATTTACGTATTTTAGATATTTTAAAACATCATGTTTTCTAAATATGAATAAAATGCAATTCTAATTTTCTGTTAATAAGAACTGAATTTGTTAATAATACATATGTGCCAGATGTTTAATAAACATAGGTAAAATTAATGCACTGTTAATAAATATTATGCAAACTGCATAGGCATATTGTTATATATCCTCTTATTTTGACAAATTAATTTTTCAGAAACTACGGCTGAACAGCGGCCGAGTGGTAAAGTCGCTAAGCACTGGTATTTCGGTCCGAGGGTTGAATCCCGACGAGCGAGCTGGCTGCGTGAGCGTTTCCGTGGTTCTCTGTATGTGTAACGTGCATTCGAGACAGTTTCAACTACAAAGGGCCTCCACGAAGGCCTCCCTCCACTTAGCCCTAGTGTACTTTGCTGTTACTTTCCAAAACTATTTGCATACTTTAATTGTAAACGGGAAAAAAGCCAGAATAAATTAATTAAGTTTTAAAAGCAAATCAAGAGATAAAGGATTTTATTTTTTTTAATTTTATTTTACAATGCTTAGCAATAAAGGAACAAAGAAGCTTTTTTTTTTTTAATAAGCATTTTCATCACAGTTATATAAGCTAATAAACTATAGTTTTCTTTTTCATGCTACTTTCAATCATGTGAATCGTTTTACAATTAAAACTTCCATGAGTATTACTATATTCAGGAATTTTTTGTGTGATATACATGCAATTTTCAACGCAAGGAGATGTACCCACTGAATTCTTTTTGCCTGGATAATTAACTTAGCAAACGTAAAGTAGTTATGAATATTTTAAAAGTATTTGAATAAATGCGAAGCATGTTTAATAAGATATCAATTGTAAGATAACATTTCTTCAAATCAGCATATTCTTGTGTGTCACACCCCTCAACCAATGTAAAATGACGTGAGCCATGCCAGTTAAAACTGACGTAACACCTCAAAAGTCAGTTTTAACTGTTAATTATGAAAAACGAATGGGCAGTGAAAAGGTTGTCGGAAATAAGAAGAGAGAGAGAGAGAGAAATAGAGAAGCGGAAGGTAGGATGAATTGACTGAGTATTTTGAGATAAGGAAGAAGAAAAGATGGAAAAAAGGTTTCGAATGATTTAGAGATATGGTATGTGCAGAGAATAAAATGAGTTTTTTGTGAGACATGAAGGAAGGTAACTGACGATGTATTAGCTAAGGTTCCAGAATGCTAACATGGGCACGACGAAGTACAGAATATATTTAACTTTGACCGATGATCAACGAAATACTGTTCAACCTAATCCTCAGTGTATACGGAGAGCATGGTAGATGGACTCATTTTATTTTTCAAGAATGATGAAGATTTTCTGATTATGTGTCGCCCACTTGAATGGTGATTAGCTGAACTTATATAATGAGTGTCAAAAACTGTTATCGTCAGGGAAACTGGGTCCATAATTTTTTGCTAAATATATCTATCGACATGAAACAATTGCATTTTCAATAACTAGCAGAATCAATTAACTCTAATTCAAATCCGTGTAAGTTTTATTCATTTTTTTTTTATTTGCTAGGATAAAATACAGAAAGATACAAAGAATGAGTGTTAAGCACACTCATTCTTTGTATCTTTCTGTTATTGTTTAAGATCCATTTAAGGTACCAAACCTGTCATATATCTTTGCGTGGTCAGTCAGTCTGTTGTTTATTGCCTATCGAAAGTATAGCAAAGAGAGATAGACAGTCAGTTGAAGAATGAAGTTGTCTGCCAAAACTTTTCTGTAGGGTGTTCGCATCCGAGTTTGAGTTTGGTTTTTAGCTGGTATGGCTGATACAGTTTTGTAGGATGTTCAGGTAACATCTGAGTTAAAATTGATTA